ATCTTTGTTGATTTTTCGAACTGAAACTGCAATAAAATAAAAAAATAAAAAAAATTTTAAATTTTGATAAAGCATTTCATTAAAATATTCATGTTTTGAAAAAACCGAATAACAATAAAAAGTATATTACCCTGTGGAATAGAAACAAACAATGTTAAAAAATATAATAATAAAATAAAAAAAAACTATTATAAAAACTATATTTATTTATAATAATACAAAGTAATAGATGAACAAAATCTTTCTATATTGATAAGTTCTTTTAAATTATTATCTGGTAATCTAGGAAATATAATTGAATGTAATGATGATTTATTATTTTTAATGAAATTTGAAAATGCATTTACCAAAACATTATTGTCATCGAAATCATGGAGAAAAGGGTTATAACGAGTATCCCAACCAATTTTTAAAGTGGTGATATTATGATTTTCGTTGCAATGTAAAAGAAAGGTTTCAAAAGATTCGAAATTGCATATTAATGTTGTAATATTTGGTACTTGGATGAGTGGTGATAGTTTTTCCGAGTTGCTTACTTTGAATAATTCTAAACCCAATTTTTCTAAAGTTTGATTACCTATTAGTGTTTTTAAAAATTCGGTTGGCTCTTGGTTAAGATATGAAGTGGCAGAATCCAAATAATGTCTTAATTTTAACACCTTTAATGTATTATTTGTTGAGATTTCTGATTTTCTAAATAAATTTGCAACCAATTTACTTGTGTTGCGATTACCCAGTCTAACAGTGAATGATTTGATTGCTGGTGATTTTGAGTTTATTACTTTTCCAACAAAATCATGGGGTGTATTGTGGCTGTCAAATTTAATAGCTTCTACTGTACTATAACAATTTCTTAAAATACCATCCAAATCCTCTAAATGCATATTTATGTAGTTATTACTTGTTGATATTGAGATTTTCTTTAAATTTGGATATCTTGATAGAAATTCAAAAGAATAGTTAAATGTATAGAATTCACCACATGCGGCCAATTGATGTTCGGGATCGTCTGAAAATGGAGGTTGTTCTGTATTCCAAAATAAATCTAAAACTCTAAATTCATAAAAATTATCACATGTTGGGGTCTCATCCAGAGTATCAACATTAGCATTTTTAAAAATAACTTTTTTTAATTGTTCACATTGTTCTAAAAGTTCACTCTTGATCTTTTTGAATATCTTTTTTGAATAAATATTGCAATGATCGAAATGGATACTTTCCAACTCTTTATACTTTATTAAAAATAGTTCATATTTGTTATTTTCTTTTGATTTCTTCATTGAGTTTATTAGATTATTTGGATCAAGTTTGATGATAAATTTATGAGTTAATAAATTTTGAATGATTTGAAATGATTGTTTTGAAATTAAACTTAATTCTAATATTCTTTTATAATTATTATTATATGATAGATATGGTAATATTTCATTAAAAATTAATGAGTTTAATTTTAAATTTATTTCCATACTATTTAATTATTTATATTAAAAAAAATATTAATTTATTTGTGGCTTTGTGAAAAGGAAAATTTAAATTAAAAAACTATTATAAAAAAAAAAATAAAAAAACTATTATAAAAAAAAAAAAAAATAATGAAATTTTTAATTTCCAATAAAAAATTTTTTAACAAAATTTATATTTTTTTTGGTAATAAAAAGTAGTAATATTTTTGTGTGTACTTGTTTGTGTCTGTGTGCGGGAGAAAAACAAAAGATACAATGTTAAATAAAAAAAATATTGTAATCATATTTCTTCAAAAAAAAGTGTGTATTTGTAAGTGAGATATTAAATATATAATGTAAATCAAATAGTATTAAACAAATGGAGTGGTGACAACCTCGGCCTCTCCATCTAAAAACTCAACAAATACAAATACTGTACAATCAGAAAACTCAAATACAAAATCCCCAACCATTTCATCTGGAACAGGGGAAGAGTCAACCACTTCATCATCAACAACAAATAATACTAATACCACTACTACACACACAATCAGCTAATAATAAGAAAAAAGTGATATCATCTACATGGGGAATTATGGTATTTATTGCAACGATTAGACCATATGATTTCAACTTTTATAATAAATTACATTTTATTAGCAATCATCTTAAATACCATTAACATCAACATTACCAGGAAAAAGAGAAAGAAAACTTGTGCCTATTGCTCCTCTACTTCAATCAGTTTCATCCAAACCAAATTCATCTACAACCAAACCAAAAGCATCAGCAACAGCCAAACCAAAAGTAAAAACACCAGCACAAACTAAAAAAGAAAGAGATAAACTATATTCCAACAATACCAATAATAATAAATCAAAATCAAAATCAAAATTAAAAAAAAATTATTTTAAAACTATATTTTTTTAAATAATAAAAAGTAATAGATGAACAGAATCTTCATGACCAAGAAGTCCAAAAAACTATTTAGGAATTATTTAATAATTTAGAACAAATTGAAGCTGAAAAAAAATTACAAATTAATCAGAAACAAACCAAACAAGAAAACATCAAGCTGAACATCAACAATTATATCAGCTGATCAAAATCAATTAGACCAACAACAAGCCCATTATAAAAATCAAATTGATCCACAATATATTTTAAATAATCTCTTAAAAGCAGTTGATTTGGACATTATAGAACATTATAATAATAATAATAATAATATAATTTATAATAATTAAAAATTAGTTTTTTTAAAAACTATAAAATTAAAAATAAAAAAGTTTTAGTTTTATTTATATTTCTTCGAAAGAATGAAAACCTTTTTAAAAGTTATATTTTTTATATTGTTATTAATATTATTTCTTTCTTTTTTGATAATTTCTTTTAAATTATATAATTTATATAGTATTTCAGGAAATATAATAGAGTTCAATGATGATTTATTATTTTTAAAGAAATTTAAAAGTACATTCGTAAAATCTTTATCTTCAAAGTAACCATTGTGATAATTGCTTTGATGAGAATAACAACCAACTTTTAAAGTGGTAATATTATGATTTTCGTTGCAATGTAAAAGAAAGGCTTCGAAAGAGTAGAGACTACATATTAGTGTTGTAATATTTGGTACTTGGATGAGTGGTGATAGTTTTTCCGAGTTGCTTACATCGAATAATTTTAAACCCAATGTTTCTAAAGTTTGATTACCTATTAGTGTTTCTAAAAATTCGGTTGGCTCTTGGTTAAGATGTGGGATGGAAAATTCCTCACAATATTTTAATTTTAACACCTTTAATGTATTATTTTTTGAGATTTCTGATTCTCTAAATAAATTTGCAACCAATTTACTTGTGTCGTCATTGGCCAATCTAACAGTGAATGATTTGATTGCTGGTGATTTTGAATTTATTACTTTTCCAACAAAATCATGGGGTGTATTGTGGAAGTCAAATTTAATAGCTTCTACTGTACTACAACAATTTCTTAAAATACCATCCAAACACTCTAAATACTTTAGTACATCGCTATAACTTGTTGATATTGAGATTTTCTTTGAATTTGGATATCTTGATAAAAATTCAAATGAAAATATAAATGAATCGTCTATTAATTCGGCTTCGTTTGACCATGGAAGAACTTCTGTATACCAAAATAAATCTAAACCTCTAAATTCATAAAAATTATCATATGTTGGATTCTCATCCAGAGTATCATATCCAACAGTAGCTCTGTTGAAAATAACTTTTTTTAATTGTTCACATTGTTCTAAAAGTCTACTCTTGATCTTTTTCAATATCCTTTTTGAAAATTCATTGCAATGATCGAAATGGATAATTTCCAACTCTTTATACTTTATTAAAAATAGTTCATATTTGTTATTTTCTTTTATTAAGTTTATTAGATCATTTGGATCAAGTTTGAGGATATGTTTATGAGTTAATAAATTTTGAATGATTTGAAATGATTGTTTTGAAATTAAACTTAATTCTAATATTCTTTTATAATTATTATTATTATATAATAGATATGGTAATATTTCATTAAAAATTAATGAATTTAATTTAATATTTATTTCCATACTATTTAATTATTTATATAAAAAAATATATTAATTTATTTGTGGGTTTATAAAAAGGAAAATTAAAAAAATTAAAAAAAAAAATTTTAAAAATAAAATAAATGAAATATTGTATTTTGATTAAATTTTTAATAAAAAATTTTTTTTAACAAAATTTAAATTTTATAATTATAATTTTTTTGTTGATCTTCTTAGATATTAAAAAATATATATTATGTAAATCAATTAATATTAAACAAATGGAGCAGTGACAACCTCGGCCTCTCCATCTAAAAACTCAACAAATACTGTACAATCAAAAAACTCAAATACAAAATCTAAACCTCTTCATCTGGAAACAGGGGAAGAGTCAACCACTTCATCATCATTATTTAAAATTAAAAATTAAAAATTAAAAATAAAATAAAAAAATTAAAAATTTTATCAAGTTTATTTACATTTTATTTAATTTAGTCTAATAAAACAATGGACCAATCTAAATTTGGTTTAATAGTGCAGTTGTCGTCGCTTAAAGAGTAAGCCATATGACCAGCATAAAATTCGGTGTTATATTCTTTACCATTATCGTTGATTTTGACTGGACATGAAACATAGCCACGTATGACATCGCCGGTGTCAATGAAACTCCATTCTGTGGTTTGTGCATCACCCCACATTGATTTAAATTCTTTTTTATTTTCCATAATATACTTACCCTTGGCATCAAAAGCACAGAAAGCAGTAATCCAACCGGAAAGATAAGTTGGACCACTACCACCACCAACTCTATTCACAATTTTATTCCACCATTCGGTATCTGGTGATCCATTGGCAGTTTCAATTAATTTGTCGACAATTGGATTGAGATAGTTTAACCAACCACTCATTGGATTACCAGCCTCTTTGAGGTCAAATTCGACGAGACGAGAGATTCTGTTCTTAATGTCAATATAGTCAGAGGCATCCCCTTCCAAAGTAACTGATGGTAAATTGCACATTAAATGCATTTTGAAATCGAAATAGTTCTTCATAGTTGCCATTAAAGTAATTGATGAAACTAATTGATCGGTATCAGTAGTGGTTGAGAATTTCTTCATTACCCATTCACGAATAGATGGATCTTTAATATTTTTTTCAATTTCTCTTGTCATTTGAAGGGTCATTTGTTCATATGGAGCAGTGAAAAGATTACCAGAACCTCTAACAGTTAATTGTCTTTTTCCTTCGAAATCTACGATTTTATCTCTAAGTTGTTCTGAATTTGCATTTATATAAAGTGATAATTGAATGAGAATTGCAGTCCAAAAATCATCTGGTCTAAGTACAAGATTATGATGTTGACAATATGCTGTAAATACTGAGTTTACTAAAGAATTATTTCCAAATGCTTTTGATTGATTTGAAATACTTGTTTTAATAATTGTTTTTTCTACTGCTGCTGCTCTCATACCTGGTCTACCACCTTCTTCATAAAGTGATTTTTGATCAAATTCTCTTGGATTATTAACTGGATTAACTTGAGCATCACTAACTTTAAATGTAATTGTCATTTTATAATTTATTTATTTATTTATTTATTTATATAGAGTTATTTATATATTTTATCTTTAATTAAAATTTTATGAAATGAAGAGAAATGAAAAATTTAAATTTATAAAAAAAAAAAATTTGAAAATTGGAAAAAAATAAAAATAAAAATTAATAAAAATTAAAATTCGAAAAAATAAAAAAAAAAAAGTTTGGAATGATAATAAAATAATTTTTTTATTTGAAAAACCTGGTGGTTGTTTTTTTCAGCATAATACCGAAAAATCAGTTTTTCCCAAATTCAATGTTTAATGATATCTTTATGAGAAAGTTTAAACTTAATCTAGATTACACAAATTTTTGCAAAGGTTATAATAATAATAAAAATGATATTTGGTTGGTGAGGTGGTAAAAATGATGGTAATTATTATTAAAATAAATTTTTATTTTTATTTAATTTTTTTAAAATTGGATTATTTATTTTAAATTCTTTTTGAAGGATTTCGTTGAAGTGATCCCTTGATTTTAAAGGGGTTTTGGTTTTGAAACCATTATGAGTTGTGATGGTTAGATTGTTTTCAGTTAGGGTTGAGGTACCTTCATTGGTTAATTTAACAACCAATGGGCCTTTGGTAATCTCTAGTTGATCTCTAATAATTTGATTTTGAATGATGAATAGGGATTGATCTGAAACTTTATTTAAATTGAAAACAAACCCTGAGGACCAATTTCTTTCACTTTCTATTAAATAGTTGTCATCTTTTCTATATTGAAATGTATGTGTATAATTTACATTTTCACCATTACTATTGATTGCTTTACTATTTTCTAATATTACCTTGAATAATCCATTTTCGTTTTTGATAATTTGATTTGAATAATTATTATCAAATTCGTTGATTAATATTGGATTTAATGCTATAAAACCTCCAAAACCAATATCAACTAAATATTTTTTATTATTATAATTTACAATGTTTACAACATGACAATCAGTTGATCCCCATGGATTAAATCCATTCACTACAGTTCCCATTGATAAATAAACGTCAAATCTACAATCCAATAAAAAATAGTATAATAATCCATTTAATTTATAACATAATCCTCCATTGGTTTCTAATAAAAGTTGTTTATAAATTGATTCTTTAGTAATTTCCCCAATTTCTTCTTTAACAATATCTAAATTTTCAAATGAAAATGTTTCGCTACATGATTTCATTATAATTGATAAATCTTCAAATTTTAAATTATCAATTGGTTTTAAATTTATTCTATTATAAAATTTTTTTTGAAATTCTGTTAAATTATTCATTTATTTATTTATTTATTTATTTATTATTACTTTTTACTATTACTATTTAAATATTACTGAAGGTTTATTTTATTATAAATAAAATTTTTTAAAAAAAATTTTAAAAAAAAAAAAAAAATTAAATAAAAAAAAAAAAAAATTGATTTTAAAGTTTTGATATGGTTTTAATTTTTTTAGCAGGATTGCCACCATAAATAGAGTTTGGTGGTACGTTTTTAGTAACAACACTTCCAGCAGCAATGATCGAATTATCACCAATTGTAACACCACCTAAAATAACGGAATGCCCACCAATCCATACATTATTTCCTATAGTGACTGGATCGCCATAGCCCGATTTGTCTCTAGTTTGGTTCTCTTTATCTAATGGTTGGATGTTATGGCCTGCAGTATATATTCCAACATTGGGTCCTATTAAACAGTTGTCGCCAATTCTAACCTCTGCTATATCGAGCACTGTAAAATTAAACCCTGCATAAAATCTAGATCCAACATGTATATTAAATCCAAGGTCACAATGAAAATTATGTTCAATTATAAAATCATCATCTTTACCTAAATAAAAAAAAATAAAATTAATAAAAAAAAAGAAATAAATAAATAATAAATTTAATACCACATTAAAACTTACCCACACTTCCTAATATTTCTCTTAATATTTTTTTTTTACCTTCATTATCATCATATGATAAACCATTGAATTCTTGTATTAATTTACCTGCTGGAGAATTTAGAGTTAGTGGTACTCCTCTTGTATATTCGGTATCGTGTTCTTTTTCCATTATACATAAAAATTAATAAATAATTTTTTTAAAATTTTTAAATTTTTTTAAAATTTTTTTTTTTTTTAAATAAATATTTAATTAAAAAATTCTAATTTAAATCTTATATTCTGTTTATATCAGATATAATGTAGGATTTAATGTTATATCTGAACATATTAAAAAAAATATTATAAATTTAACAAAAAAAAAAAATAAAAAAAAATAAAAAAAAAATTTATAAAAAAAAAATTTATAAAAATTTTATTAATTTATAATTATTTTTTAATTTTTTATATTTTTTAAACCACACATATACACAAACATAAATAGTTTTTATAATAAAATGAATGAAATAATTATTTTTAATTATATTCTAAAAAATCTTATTAATAAAAATAATAGTAGTTATAATGATTGCAATAATCAAAATAATAACAATAATAATAATGATATTAATAATTTATTCATTAATCATATAAATATCTTAAACAATAAAATATCTAAAGATTACGAATTTAGTAATACAATTAATAATATATGTAATAATAAAATAGAAATAATTTTTAATAACCTAAATAATGAAATTTGTGCAACTTCAATAATATCTATAGAAAAAGAAAATAAAAATAATATAATACCAACAATTTTTTCGAATATAGGAAAAAGTAATAATAGTAATAATAATATTTGTATAATTTTTAAATTTGATTTATATCAATTAATAAATCAAAATAATTTAAATAATAAACTTAAAGAAAATATTCAAGAATTGGATGTTTTAAATGATGGTATATTAAGATTTAAATTAGAGTTTACAGAGGACGAAATAATAGAAAATATAATAACCTCATGCTTACAATGTATAGTATCTTTAGATTTAAAAATAAAAAATTATTAATATTAATATTAATTGTTTTTTTTTTATAGGTATTTATATTAGTTGTATAGTTTTTAAAGATTTAGATATTGAATCATTTTATATAGAAAAATTTGAAAATATTAGATTTAACTTTTTAAATACAAGAGATAAACAAGAATGTTATTATATACAAATTCAATTTTTAGAAAATGATAAATTAAATTGTAAACTTTTTAATAATAACGAAATAATATTAATTGATTTCAGTTCAATTTCAATAAAATATAATAATAGTAAAAATGACGAATATATAGTAGATAATAATCAACTATTTAATAAAATACATCCAATTGAATGGGGTTTTAATAATGTAAATAATCTTAATTGTAATAATGATAATAATAAAAAAATTTATAATGAAGCTATAATTTATAGAGCAACTAGTCAATCAAGTAGTATATCACCAATAATAGAATATTATTCAAAGATTTCAAATTCGGTTAGATGTATATTTTCAACTGATTTATTTGATAGGAAATTAGATGTATCCGATGGAAATATTATTGTATTTGCTAAAGGTTGCGAGCCAATGATTGTAGAAAATTTTGACTTTTATGACGTAGAATTGGTTAAAATACTGGATGCACTTGTAAAGAAATATAAAGAAAAAACCGACCAAGATAATCATGAAACATCATGCAAACTTTTATTGGTTTCTTTAAACTCTTCTGGTAATACAACTACCGAAAACTATTTAAATTCATCTCTTATTGGTGTACTAAAATATTATATTATACACAACCCAGAGCTTAGATGTTATTCAGTAGACCTCGATACAAACTCATTTTTAAATAAATCTATATTCAGTACTATAGAAAACCTCATCTCAAATCCCATTCCATCTCCTTCATCACCAAATATTAACATTCCATCATCATTGTCATCATTACTAAAAGAAAGATTTTTTATTTTCAAAAATAATCAAATTCTAATAAAGAAAGAAATAAATACCAATATAGACCATACAGTTGAAGATAATGATATATTTGGTAATACAATTTTAATAACAGGTCAAAAGAATTCTTCACTCAATATTTTAAAATATATTATATCAATTTCTTCAAATTTTTAAAAAATCAAAATCAATAATAATATTATCAAAATCAAAAATGAATTGGAAATTAGAATTATTAATAAATAAATATAAACAACAACAACAACAACAACAAAATTTAATATTTTATTTTAAAAGTATAGATATATCAAGATTTTATTCAATAAAAAATACAATTAATGAATTATATAAGAATAATGAAGATCTACAGCAACAACAACCTCTTTTACCAATAGACTCAATTATTCATTTAGCTAATGATGATTTAAATTCAAATTCAAATAAAGAAATTAATATAAAGAAATCACACGAATCTAAATCAATAGGGGCTATTAATTTACACAGATATTGCTTAGAAAAGAATTGGAGTTTAAAGTCTTTTATATTTATAATCAAATCAAATTATTATTCAGATCAATATCAAAAAAATCAGTCAATTGGTAATTTCTCTTCAAATCAAGTTATAGAATCATTTCATTATTATAGAAAATCTTTAAATTTATCTAGTACTTTAATTGAATTATTTAATTTAAATAATAATTATAAATTTATAAATAATAATATATTAAATAATAATAATAATAGTCATATAATAATAAATAATAATTAAAATAAAGTTTATATATAAATTTTTTTTATTTACCATAAAAAAAAAAAGATTTATTTATAAAAATTTTTTATTTTAAATTATTTCTATCTTTTCTAAAATTGTTTTTATCTTTTTTTATAAAATTATAAGATTTTGTGTTTTTTAAAATATGAGCCATTAAACTTGATAATGAATTACTTTGATCATTTAAATATTTTAATGCTAAATTGTAAGATTCGTTTTTAGTTAAACCATATGCTTTTGAAACTTCTGAAGAACCTGATTCGATAGTTGTTGTAAAAAATGGAAAATCAAGAGTATTTGGGGTTGTTCTTTTTAAAAAAAAAAAAAAATAAATTTTAGTAATAATAATTTAAAAAAACTTTTAAATTAATTAATTTACTTACTTTATTACTGGTGATTCTATTTTATATAATGAAAACTTTTGAATCATAATTGATTCTGGAATTTCTAATAAAATTGAAGCTGGTTTTTTATTTGGTAAACCTAAAATAACTCTATGAATAAATTGATGAGTTACTTTAAAACCAAATTCTAAATAAAGTGCACCAATAAATTTAATTAAACATTTGTAATAATTGTTATTTGCATAAATCTGTTTATAATCTTTCCAATTATTTGGATAGCTGAATCTAATAAAATCTGATAAACCAATTTCTTCACAACGGCTTTTTAAAAAGAATTCCGATTGAACTAGTTCTTCAAACTCTTTATATATGGCTTTATCTGCTAGTGATAATTCCAATGGATTGTTAATTGAATGTCTAAGTGTTAAATCACCAAAATAAAATAATTTATCTTGATCTGCTTTGGTTTGTTTTTCTGAACATTGTGTTAAACTTTGAATCATTTGATCTGATATTTCTTTAACTTGTTTAATTTCGAAATCTTGTTTTAAAAGTTTTAATAATTTTGGTTTATATTCGTTTTCAATTTCATTTTGATTTTCTACACCACTGAATATTAAAGTTTTCTTTTCTTTATCAATATTGTTTATATTATTTTTTTGATTTGCTAAGTTTTGTAATTCTTTTTCTAAAGATTTTTGTTTTTGTTGTTGAAATTTTTTATTTACAAAATGATTTGATATACCATAATTTCTTTTAAAAAATATTATTTTATTTAAATTATTGATTTTTATATTATTACAAGATTTTATTAAATTATTAATAATCATTTTTTTTTGTATATATTTAATTAAATATGATTATTATTAATATTACTATAATTATAATTATAATAATTATTTGTTATGAAATGAAATTAAAACGAACGAAAAAAATAAAATAAAAAATATTAAAAAAAAAATTAAAAAAAAATAAAATTTTTAAAAAAAAAAAAAATAAAATAAAATTTTTAAAAAAATAAAACAAGTAAAAAAAATAAATATATC